TTCTGAAGTCCGTGGACATCTCAAAAATGAACAAACTTCACAAAATGGCGCCGCGGCGTGGGTCACGCTATCCCGTCAGACACTGCGTTCGGGTCAGCGGCGGTTCATTCATAATGCGTAAAATAAATTCTCAAGCGGAAATAAAGAGGGTCAATTTAATCCAGGGAATAATTTAATGTTATGGGAACACTCTGGACCTCGGCAAGACTTTTCAGAACACAATTCAGGCCGGGTCCTTGACAATCATAAGCCCTTTGCAGTGCCGCCGACCGCCGGTACCGCCCGCGTTTGGGGCGGGGCATATCTGATGTAGTGCCGACTACCACCGGGGCCACTCGCGCGCCGGCAGACGCGCTAATGTTTATAAGAAAAAGTCATTCTTTGTGGCATTTAATGTGTAGCTCTGGGTCATTATACGATCTAGTCGGACCAAATTCTATACGATACGCCGGAATATACGATAATGCGCTATACAATTATGCATTGTTTTTACAATGGTGTGAATGGTAAATGGTTTGGTGTTTTAGAATTCTATACAATTACCCGAAATATACAATTAAAAGATATACAAATAAGTGGAATCCCCTGTATTATATTTGTCATAACAAAATAGTTTTGAAAAAAAAAGGTTGCAATGAAATTATATGCTTCTTACTCCATGGCTTTCTCAACCAGTTTTTACACAATACAGTCTTGTAATGTTAAGGATATAAAGATATATATATGAGCAAGGTCAAATGACAATAATGGAGTAAGTGAATAATTTGAAAAATATTTGCTTTCTTTCTTTCTTTTCCTAAATTCAAGTTGATTGAATGTGTGGTTGACGAATAATTGCAACGTAAAACTAAAACAAAACAATTTGGAAAGCAGATTTTCTACAGAACATACAGTTGACAACTTGTTGAGGAAAAAAAAAAGAAAAGACCACAACTTTACATCCATAAGTAAGAATACTAACAATAAAGTGAAGAAATGAAAAGTTGCTGACTTCCATTTTGGTGATTGGTATCGTGAGTACTCGACAGTCGTATTGATTTTTGCCCAGGTACTGAAAGGAGAAGATAGTGCACACTTGCACTGTCTGAGTTTGTGCAGGAAATTTAATTTGTGCCCCGCATGACTAAAGGCCAGAAAATCAATAGAAGCTGTAGTGGCCAGAAGATATTGGATTATGATAAAGTATTGTACAGCCCCTCTCCCGTGTAGGGTTGAAAGGATCAGACGTTTTATGTTTTAGCTTCTATTGCCGGTGTATGTAGGTGTAATGGTTATTCTGTAATGGGGGCAGTAAAATTGGAGGTGGGTAGTGCAAGATGTCGGCTTGGCAATAACTTCAGAGCTCTGTCTTATGGCACATATACGAGTATGTATATGCCTCTGGTGATGGAAGTAGGTCAGATATTCCTCCTTTGTGGTTTTTTGGCGACGTCTCAGGGAGGAGCCTAATGGTACAGTATTGTGTGCAGTTTGCAAGAATTCCCATATTGTGTCTCTACTAAGGCCATGTTGATTTGATTATATGGATGACATCCGTGCGCGCATCAATTTTCGGCCGTTTCCCCTCCAAAAAAAGTTTTCAACCATACTGTAAATCGTACAAAACAGTTGCAAAATGAGCACATATATACCGAGTAGGTAAAAAAAAAACATTCGGAAAACGATACCAATGTCACAGAACGCCAAACTCGAACAAAGACAAAAATGTTAAGAAATGAATTTGAAGACTAGATTATTCACCAAACCATACTCTGTGTCATTTGTTCAACCTTCAAAACCATGTAGATTTCATATTGAAAGCAACTTTTTTTGGCCAAACTTCTTTTATTCGCACGCTTGTATCAGTTTTGGGTTTCCCAGAGAATGTCATCCATTATAATCAAATCAACATGGCCTAAAATAGCTATGAGATACAACTCAACATCAAATATGTAGTAATGGTCTTGGGACAATATAGATTTATTGTGCACTCACCTCAAATGTCAGTCATAATTCATTGGTATGGGTTTTGCTTTCAATATTCAAGATATGTTGAAAGTTAAAGGTCACATTCCACTACATGTGGAGCATAGGGGATGTGCCTGTCTCCATTTCTGTAGCCCTTGGGCCACACAGTTGTGCAAGCACTACAGCAGGGGGCTAGCCTGCTGGTAGTGTTGTGTGTTTGACTGTTCCATACTCTTTCTCATAGATGCTGACTTTTGCTGAGTGCTAAGCAGAGAAAGCAGTATGTACCAGTTGTTTAGACTCTTTGGTATGACCCAGCTGGGGTTTGAACTCACGACCTCATGGTTACAAAGCGAGCATATGTAGTTTTACTATATATATTAGCAGGGTTCTTATATATATATGCTATAAGTTATAGAGGGTGGGACAAGGGTGTTGGTAGTTTAGGCCACACCAATTTAATTTGTAGGTTCACGGATTCGCCCGCTTCATTTTTTTTCTGTTTTGCAAAAAAAAAAACATTTCAACCTCTGATTGGTCTGAATCAACTCTAAAATGATCATATTTTGGCCCATTATAAGATCTAGAGTTGAAGGAAGTATCATCTCTTCAGAGTTGTTATAGTTTTTGCATCTACATGTATATCAATGCTGTGTTTTGATGAAAAGTTCATTGTTTGGAATACAAATCAGCCTGGTATGTTGACTTCATGGCTCCCATCATAGCATTTGGGGCTATCATAGGATGCCTACATCTGTTCTATTTGTATTTTTTTTTCACCTTGTGAGTGTCACTTCATATTTTTTTGGAAAGAATCCGAGAACAAACTAATCAAATTGGTGTGACCTTATTAAATTTCTAAAGGTGACAAAACACAGGCCTACAGTACCGTTCGCGTTATAGTTAACCGGGTACCCCGTTACTAACGAGTTAGATTTTCGTCAGAAAATGGTTAGAAAATCGTCAGTATTTGGTTAGATTTTCGTTAGAAAATGGTTAGAAAATCGTCAGAAATTATTTCTAACGCGTTACCGTTTGCGTTAATGTGATAGGGTCGGATTTCATGTTTGTTTTGCGCGCCGACAAGACAATAGCAATTTGCCACCTCCTGGGGCGTCCGCTAATGTGTTGCGATGTTGCCCCTTGAAAAATAACAGCACCAGAGGCAAGTGGACATGTGATTCGAAAAATAACTTTGTGGTTTATCCGTGTGTCGACTGTGTGAAGCGAATTGTGCTATCTTTTAATGCTATTCTATAGTTATTTCTAGCGGAAAATATTACGTTGTGTAATACAATGTCAATGTATGTCAACAAAGTGTAGCAGTGGGCAGACGATGTCTTGTACATTTTGTACCAGTGGCGGCCTACCGCTCTCACAGGACGTCATGGGACGTGACGAAACAAGAAATATCTGCCGTAGAAGAAATATAAATCGGTAACTCACGCCTTAAATTCACGGCGGTTTTTGACACAAAAGAAAAATCATTATAATTTTTGTAAGGCGCGCGGCTTACTAGTAGTAGCGGCTTACTCACGGTAAAATGTACCGTCACTCCCGGCGCAAGGACTCGGTTCGCCAGCTGAGGACTTTCCACAACCATGATGATATCATAGTTAATAAAGGAATATATAATAGATCTATCATGTTGAAATGATAATTGTAATACATGGTTCTATTTAATAGCGGTAGTTTTGTTTCTTATTTTGACGGGGGAAACTGTCGAGGGTATTAAAATCGAGGGAACGCAAACTGAGATCGGCTCACTTCCGGGTGTAAAACGCCAAAATTTCTCGACGATTGTATAAAAATGACCACTCATTTGTCGCCTACGGTAGCGTGTACATGGTAGTGCTATCATATCGTGCCAAAGTCAGCGTCAAACGTCAGAAAATCCCCGTAAAAATATAGTTGCAAAACACATTTCCCACGCACTCACGGCCGGTCGCCATGGCCGCGGCCGCCCTGTGATGCAGGCAGCATGCTCTTTTTAATATGCAAGTAGCTACGCTCTGATTGGTTCACCTTAGATGACCTGCGCTCTGATTGGCTAGAACGAAGCCCGTTGCATGCTGGGGCGCCCTTCCACGCGCGAAGTGCGATCTCGAGATAGCCACATTTACGCTGGTTTCTACCTTATTTCTACGACTAATTAGCAACATCCTAGTAACGAAATGCGTACTCAAAAGATTTTTCGAGAAAAAAAATATATGTACATGTGGATTTGTGGTGCCTTTGGCGTAATTTTGTTGGTCACATACAACGTAATGTAACACGGAAGTGCACGGAGTCGGAGTCGCAGCACGGCTTTCCGTCCCACTCTAAACAAAACTCCAAGGACAAAACAAAACTCCCCAAAACTGGCCAATAATTAGCCATAAAAATGTTTGTGGGCACGTGTATTAAATATGCGCGCTAAATATGCTGCCTTTTTTTCCAGTGTAATAGGAATTTTCCGCGATGTTTTTGCACATCCCTAACGTTACCTCACGCCCGCCGCCTATTATGTATGGCGGACAAGGACCTTTATAACTTCAGATCATCTCTAAGGATTGCATATTCGGTGGTAAAAGAAGTAAACAAACAGAGAAAAACAGCAAAATAAAGTTGACAAACTATGGAAACGCTTGCCTGGGCAACAGTGACAAAAGAAAATGTCGATCTAATTGATGCGCCGGTGATCGTTAAAACGTTTTAAACGTTATAATATACTAGTAGTAAAATGCAGGCTAGATCAACGTTCCTTCCGCTGTTCCAGCGGTGTGTATCGGTAATTTCCCGCCCCGCATGAGGTAAATTAGTACTCCTCCCACGATTCCTGTGATGTTACCGCGCCTGCATATGAATGGAGAAGTCTGACGAAAAAGAAACGCGTTACTTTTGGAAAAGTAACGGAAAACTTACGGAAAACTTACGGACAACTTACGGAAAACTTACGGAAAAGAAACGCGTTAGTAACGGCCGTTAGGGTAACTATAACGCGAACGGTACTGTAAGACTACTAGTACCTTAGACTGAGACTCTGGTTAATTTGAACCCTTGATGTATTCCAGAGCCATGAGCACCATGGGACACCAGAAAACTCCCATCAGCCTCCTGCAGGAGCTCAGCACCCACATGGGCAAAACGGCGCAGTACGATCTCATCGCAACAGAGGGCGCTGCTCACCAGCAGACCTTTGTGTTTCGGTAAAGACAACATGTCTGCATTGACTAACTCGCTGTAGCATGTCGACTTTAAAGTAGTGCTGCGTACCGGTTCACTGGACTTGGATCCAGACTTGTAAGATGATGTTTCGGTTCAAGTCCAAAAAAACCTAAAAGTCAAGAACCGAGTCCGGACTTATTACCATAAAAGACCATTTCACATACCCCTTTTCTTTCCAAACCACCTAAAACCTTCTGTAGATTGCAAAATCTTTGCTGCAAAATGAAGAAAGCATTGCCATCGGGCATCGTCAAGTACCGGCCTCCATGTTATGTGGCCAAAGTTTCACCCAGACAACATTGCAAGGTTGCCAACATTCAATTTTGTATATGCCACGGGTTTAGGTCCAGACTTACGAGTCCGGAACTGAACCTAAACCTCTGGACTTGAATCCGGACCTGAACCTAAAATTGGGTTTAGGTATGCAGCACTACTTTTAAGGCCTAGGAAAAATGTGTTGTGTTTCCTGTTTCTCAACCGACCTAGAAAAACCTGCCAACCGTAGACTTTTTTAGGGGTGGACCCCTGCAAGGGACATCCATTTTCCAAGCTGATCAACCTTTTCTAACTCTATGATCATGATAAAATGTTGTACAATTGATTTTCCAACATTGCCATTGAAAATATTAGTGTCCTCATGCAAGTTTTACTTCGTTAAACTGTATTGCATAATTATAAGATGGATCACTATATAGATATCACCACATACAGATTCTAAAAAAAAGACAAAAAGATAATTCCTTACCTACTGACCTTAATGTTTTTCAGGGCTGAAACAGGAAACACAACATTTTTTTCCTAGGCCCTCGTATGTTAGCTCCAACTAGACATAATCACTATAGACTGTTCTACATACTGAGTGACATACATTTGTAGTTTTATCTTCAGTATAACTATTCCAAGGACAGTTGATATTAACATGCGTACCTGCATACCAAGACAAGTAATAGTCACACAATTTGTCTTTGTAATTAAATCTCCTCCCTTTGGTGCAACTGATTGAGCACAATCATGAACAGAATGCAAACAAAATATCCCTGTCATATCGCATTAACATGTGTATATTCATTCATGATTACAATGAAAATTTCTAGCAAAAACCAAAACTAGAGCATGATGTACGTATTGTCCTGTTGAAATGACAACTCCTCTCAGCTTCAATTTGTTACAATGAGGTGTGATTAATTTTTGATTTGGGATTTCATTTCAAACAACTACGCAATTATTTTACTCATAAATTACACAGAAAGTCTTTCAAGGTCTGGACTTTCCTGATACAAGTGCTACTTATAATTTGTAGCACATCGGCAGAACGTACTGCACCTGCGCGAAACCCTGATTTTCCACGGTTTTCGTTGGATGTTTGCTCACCGTTGCATCAGAATTTTGCCCATTGCAGACGATATATTTTCCGACATAACAATGTGGAAACTACAGACGGGATGTTAACCTTATATACACAAGTACTTGTAACCTTATATGAGACATTCTGCCGGAGTGCTATGCACATTACATTACGGGTTTTGCGCAGGTTCAGTATGTTCTGCCGATGTGCTGTGATATGTGGAATTCAGTCTTAGATTTTGATTGATGGTACATGTATTTAGGCCACAGCAAGTAATTTTTATGGATGACATCATCGCGCGCATTGATTTTCGCCCGATTTTGGGTGAAAAAAAAGAAATTTTGTTGCCTTCTAACAGTGGTCACCATGCCGAAAATGGGCAAAGATGTCTGTTGCCATGCCAGAAAGTGGATGGCAGATAACTATGAAGAGAGGAGACAAGAAATTTCTGATTTAATGTTTTATTTCTGACTTTGATGCAGTGATATGTGATGCTGGCTGTGTATATGTGATGTTCCTATTGAATCAAAACCATTTGTACGATGATTGAGTCAAAATTCTAAAATGTAGGAACCTTGTATTTTTCGGCCCGCCTTGTTTTTTTTTTGCCCGCTCGCCTTAGATTTGGAGTCTGCGGAGGATGTCATCCATAAAATTTACTTGCTGTGGCCTACAAGTTTTGAGCTTCCCCATGCACCATGTGTGAGGTAGAGTTTTTCCCTAGCGTTACTGTAGGAGAAGTGGTGGCTACTGGTGCAGGGCTGAGTAAGAAGGCTGCGAAACACAAGGCCGCTGAGAGTGCTCTGAACATCATACAGGGCAAGGTCACTCCTGAGGAAGCCAACAACATGAGGTCTCTATCTTAACTTACTGTGTGTGTTGTTACATGTCGGTCAAGTCAGCTTGTGTATGATTCTTGCAATTGTTTTACTGTATGATCTGTGGTTGATGTGTTCATGTGCTGTTTTACAGTGTGATCTATGGTTGATGTGTTCATGTGCTGTTTTACAGTGTGATCTATGGTTGATGTGTTCATGTGCTGTTTTACAGTGTGATCTATGGTTGATGTGTTCATGTGCTGTTTTACAGTGTGATCTATGGTTGATGTGTTCATGTGCTGTTTTACAGTGTGATCTATGGTTGATGTGTTCATGTGTTGTTTTACAGTGTGATCTATGGTTGATGTGTTCATGTGTTGTTTTACAGTGTGATCTATGGTTGATGTGTTCATGTGTTGTTTTACAGTGTGATCTATGGTTGATGTGTTCATGTGTTGTTTTACAGTGTGATCTATGGTTGATGTGTTCATGTGTTGTTTTACAGTGTGATCTATGGTTGATGTGTTCATGTGTTGTTTTACAGTGTGATCTATGGTTGATGTGTTCATGTGTTGTTTTACAGTGTGATCTATGGTTGATGTGTTCATGTGTTTGTTTACAGTGTGATCTATGGTTGATGTGTTCATGTGTTGTTTTACAGTGTGATCTATGGTTGATGTGTTCATGTGTTGTTTTACAGTGTGATCTATGGTTGATGTGTTCATGTGTTGTTTTACAGTGTGATCTATGGTTGATGTGTTCTTGTGTTGTTTTACTGTAGGATCTATGGTTGATGTGCTCATGTGTTACTTTATGATCTATGGTTGATGTGCTCATGTGTTGTTTTACAGTGTTATCGATGGATGATGTGTCTCTGTGTTTTGTTTTATTGAATGATTTTTGGTTGATGTGTTCATGTGTTGTTTTAGTAGTTATCTATGGTTGTGTTCATGTGTTGTTTTACTTTATGATCTATGGATGATGTGTTTCTTTGTTTTGTTTTACTAAATGATTTCTGGATAATGTGTACGTGTTACTTTAAAGTATGAACTATGGATGATGATGTGTTCATGTGTTTTAAATTACTGAATGATTTCTGGATGATGTGTTCATGTGTTGTTTTACTGTGTAATATTTGGTTGTGTTGTTTTACAGTCATCTCCATACTACTGCTGGAGAACAAAGGTAAGACTTCTTTCATTTCATACAACTTTTTGCAATTATATTTTAAGCTAGGGCTGACTACCTGTAATGGTATTGTGGTACAGGTCCGGACCTAAACATCGGGTGTTCCTGTACCTGAACAAAATAGTGAAACTTTTTTCAACAAAACATAGAGCTGAAACATACTATGAAATTTTGCTACCGTACATGTAGGTAGAAAGCACTAGGTGAGAGAAGTTGTTTGTGTCGATGAAAAGTTTTAACTCTAAATGTGTACATGTAGCTGCCCTGTTCCACCCAGCACCTACTCGGAGTCGGGCGGAGTCCTGACCCCCCCGGACAACCCCATTGGTCAGCTGCAGGAGCTGGTGGTGGAGCGCGGGTGGAGACTCCCCGAGTACATCGTGATCTCGGAACAGGGCCCTCCCCACTGCAAGGAGTTCACCATCCAGGTCAAGGTCGAGAAGTTCAAGGACACAGGTCAGTCACAACAACAACATTCATGAAAACATCAGTATCAGTTTTATAAATTTGCTTTGCTTTGTATAGTTGCTATATAATTTATTTATTTGAAAATGGTCCAGTTTTGCACTGGGGTAAGTTATAGTCCACTATTGCGAGGGAGGGAGATGGACTGAAATATGCTGTATTTGCTCCCAAGCAAATGTCGGCCTTTCTAGTCTTTGCTTTGCTTTTTTCCCCCCAATGGGTCATGGCAATACAAGCACAACGAAAAAAGAAAAGACACAATGATTGAATTGAAAGTAAATACATATTAGAGTATAACGACAAAACAAACAAATCAGACCGAAATCTGAACAAAAGTTGCACTATGAATGATTAACAAAAATTTGCAAGAATACTCCAAAAGCGTCTCTGCGTGTGTCTGACAGGGACTGGTTCATCCAAGAAGGCAGCGAAGCGTTCTGCGGCGGGGGTGCTCCTGACACGACTGCGGGAGATCCCGCCGGACCAGCAGGACATGGTGCGAGACGCAGACATCGACGAGGACTCCGTTCCTTTTGTACGTAATCCTGATCCTACAAGTAATCCTGATCCTACAAGTAATCCTGATCCTACAAGTAATCCTGATCCTACAACTCTAACAGGAACCTCAACGGAAGTACCGGATGAGGATGCATAAGCAAAGATTTTTAGAAAATAGCACGGCGGCAGAACGTACTGCACTTGCGCAAAACCCGTAATGAATTGTGCATAGCACTTTGGAAGAAGGTCTCATATAACCGTTGTATTTGCGGAAAAGGTTAACGTCCCGTCTGTAGTTTCCAAAATATTAAATGTTATGTCTGGAAAGATATCCTCTGCAACGTTGACCAAACATCCAACAAAACCGTGAAAATGAGGGTTTCATGCAACTGCAGTATGTTCTGCCTACGTGTTCTACGTACTTATGTTGTGTTTAGAACTTCCATCAAATTGCAGGACGATGCAACTCAAGTCATTATTCTCTCTGGCCTGAATCATAGTGCTTTTTTTTGTATATAATTTCAGGCCTTTGATATGACTCTTAACTCTAGTATTCAACCCCTTTGAAACCTTTGGTCTGAAAAACTTGCAAACATACAAACTGCCTTCAACTACAAGAACACAATTGAACTCGGAGAATGCCAATTTAAATTATGATTATGAGAGTGGAAACATTAAGATACAAGGGCAAAAGATTTTAGCAAAGCTCTGTCTGAAAACTGATTGCTTTATATTTTTGTACAGAAAGCTAGTATGTATGATTTTGTCAGGTTAAGAAATTGGTGTCAAGAGACTTGTAAAGTAGACACTGATATCTTGACTCAGTGTTTTTCAGTGGGACTGTTTTAACCAAATTTAATAATTATATGAGTATGAAATAAAAATGCATTTCACAATCTTTCGTTTCATTGTTTGATTGAACAGCTATTTGGAAACTACTAGTTTGAAAAACGTTTTCTCTCTTTTTACAAAAGAAAGGTGAATATTCTCTAAAACTGTTTATCTACAGTTTTGTCAAGAAAAGATTTTAGCCAGTCTCAAGTAAAGCTTGTGCCTCCTGGGCTACCTTGTTCGAAACAGTGCAGTGTTTGTTTGAGAAATATACTCACTGGGAAACACTGCAAGTCAGTCTCTACTTTACCTAGCCTCCAACAGACATTCAGGGAGGAGGTAGGGATGTATACCCCACCTCCCTGTGAAGGCCTGTTGGAGGCTAACTTTGTGAGAATCTGCTGTGGTATGCAGAAGCGCTTCAAAGCGAATCCTCCCGAGGACATGGTGGACTCTGGTGATGAGTGGTGCGGAGAGCAGGTATACCCTGGGCCGCAGACATTCCTAGTTAGGGGTGGGGGAGGAAATGTCTACTACCACACCGGCAACTATCTATCATCTTCCTATTATAGTTAGATGTGTTAACTACCAAGTAAAGATCTGTAGTCGGACCAATTTCTGTTCTCACATGACAAAAGTTTTGGTGCCACTTTTTCCCTTTCCAGAATGTTTTTCAAATTTGAGAACTGGTACTTTGCTGAAAAACTTTGAGGAAATATAATTTTCATTCTGACAAGGCTGCTCAAAATGTTCTGCGATTATCTTGCTGAAACTTTGTCTGTGATTGTTCAATTTCAAAGGACTCAAGTCAACATTCATAAGAATGGAAAAAAAATTAATCTCTATACAGTACTAGTTTCTGCTCTTTCATTGTGAGAAACTGTAGGATTGAAGTGATGTTGTTTAGCCTGTGTGGTACTAGACAAGTCCTGTCTACCTCAGACCAGGAGTGACTGAAACCCAGGGTAGCCTACTGTAGAGGTGTAGCACTGACATCCAGGAAACTCTACAGTACTGACTAACATAGATGGCTTACCAACCTGGAAGGTTTTGCTAGGGTACCAATTTGGTCGGAAGCATTTGGCCTTTTTTCTCAGTTCAAAGTACATGGTCATTCTAAGACTTACATTCTTTCTAAAGCAAGTCCAGGTTGTCCCAATCTGCACACAATCAAAACTGTTTCTATCTGACTTAGAAAAGAGGATAGAAAATTAATTTCTTCTCATTTGGTCATTTTAGGATCATGTTTTCATGCATCCTTTTCCCAAACATCCATACAGTAAACTCATTGTTCACATCTGTTGGAGAAAACCACCCATGTAACAACAATGTATGTTATTTTACGGTTCATCCCAGTATGGTCTGCTAACTAATCTTTCTAACCAATTAGAGAAGGTACCAGAGATATCTGTTCCCCTATCAAATATACGTGAAGTGGCAACAATGATTATCGGAAATAAATGTAATAGACTTCCTCCAAAAAATTTATCGATGACCAAATTATCATAGTTTCTGACATTAGGGTTTTTGCATTGTAGAAAGCATGTTTTCTTTTGAGCTTGGACCACACCAATTTAATTTGTTGGTTTTTGGATCCCCCGCTTCATTTTTTCTGATTTGAAAAAAAAAACATTTCATGCTCTGAATCAACTCCAAAATGCTTACTTTTTGGCCCCAATAGTTCAAGAAAGTCCCTTCTTTTCCAGTTGTTGCAGTTTTTCCATCTATCAATGCAGTGGTTTGATTAAAAGTTCAGAATTCATTGAAGTACAAACCAGCCTGGTATGTAGACTTTAAGGCTCCTATCGTAGAATGCCTAGGTCTGTTTTTTTCCCTGTCGCTTCATATTTTTTCTGAAAAAAATCCAAGAACCAACAAATCAAATAAGTGTGGCTTTATGAACACAATTCCATACACACAAATTGAGACGGTAGTTCTGATTGGTTCCCCAGGTTGTCCGAGACAACAAGACTGGCGTGAAGCCGATGCACTCTGCCCGTATCGGGATCACCTGGGCGACGCTGCGGAACTCTGCGGGAGAGAAGATCACGCGGCTCAAGTCCACCTCGCTGAGCACGCCCAACTCCAACTACTGCCAGCTGCTACAGGAACTCGCTGAGGAACAGAACTTCGAAGTGGAATATCTGGACATCGGTATGACCCACGGGTTTTCTTCATGTACTGTCACTAGGATGGTTTCTTACGAAGCAGTTTAAACTGTAATTTCTAACAGAAGAAATTTGATTACCCAAATTTTCGACTGTACAGTTACCGGTAACTCAGGTCTTTGTCAAGAAATGAGCAATCCACTACCGTGATGTGATATAAAACAAGCTATAAAATGCATGTATAACAGTTGTTTTTTTATCTATTTGTTATGCAGGATCTGCTGAAAATCATCCTATAAATATATAATCATTTAAAATTCTAGCCTGGAACCCAGCCATATTAGCCTCAGCTGACCCTCCATCTTGCAACAAGGACCAGTTAGGGAGCAGCTGAAGCGAATGTGGCTGGTCTCCAGGCTGTGTAAATTGCTGTAAAAGAGATGAAACCAGGGCTCTAGCCAGCACCAGTTTTTCTGTCAACTTGCGGCGTGTGACAGAATTTTCAACTTTGACAGAAAAAATTAACAAAAATTTTGGGTAAAACATGGAAATATCCAAAGGACCACCGACAACCACTCTCAACACCATGATTTGCCTCTAAAAATGCAGGAAATTTTGTTTTTGAAGGCTTGAAAATTCTAAATTTCTCAGGGGAAGATGCCCTTGGACCCCCCTAGATTGCGAGCGCCGAAGCTCCCCAAATCCGATGAACCTGGGCTGATGGAAAAAAAAATTCCAGCTGACTAGAGCTCTGGAAAAAACTGTCAGTTCTTGTCCCCCGACTGACGGCATCTATGTAACCATACAGCGGGTATGTTTGCTGCAGAAGAGTTGAGCGCGTCCAGTCTGCACCAGTGCCTGGTCCAGCTGACCACCCAGCCGGTCACCGTGTGCCACGGGCAGGGCCACACCCGGGACGAGGCCCACGCTCACGCCGCTCACAACGCGCTGCAGTACCTCAAGCTCATGGTCCGCCGCGCCTGAAGTCAGCAGGTCACAGGTCAAGTCGCAGGTGTATGATTGAGAACTTTCGTCACTTTCTTAGCTGGACTTTTATTCTTGCAAGAGTCGCTGGAGTAAGTTATTAGCCATTATATGGTTGTGCTGGAAGACAACATGAAAGAAAAACAAAAACAAAACAAAAATGTAGGTCACCGTTGTCCAGAAAATAGGAAAAGTTGATTCAGGCTCAACTTTAATCCAAATTCATTTGAAGGATGTCTGAGAATTAGGTGAAAATAAAATAAGAGGAAAATGTCTGACGTGTTGTGAAAAAGTGCAATGTAAGGGTCGCTTCATTCATGGCAGTCCTAGGACACAAATTGTTTACCATCTGTCTAACTGTACTGCCACAAAGAAATTTTAAGGTTTTCTTGGATGTATACGCTTAAAGAATGTGTAGAAATGGGTCTTAGTCAACAGATTTAGCTTCTCATTGACAAGTCAAGCCATTACCAGACTGGCATGACTTTGTGATCAATGGAAACCATTGCATTGTGTAATTATAATAATAATTATTGTAATACTTGCTGACTTGCAGCTGCATGGCTGCTAAAACAAACCATCTCTGTATATGACGCTTTCATCCCCAAATATTTGGTAGGCAAGGCACACTAGAAATTTGTGCTCACAATTTAAGGTATAATTCAGTGTCCTGGCCAGATAAAAAGAAAAAGGAACCAAAAATGACACTGGCCACTTTTGTTGTAAACAAGTGAATGCGTGTGTTGATATCACAAAGGCATTGGACGTTGATGATTGGATACAAGCAGTGTTGGGCAACAGTTATCAAATTGAAAAACAAAATCATACCTTCTGATAAAAAAAAAGAATTTGGCAGCTCGCCAGGCCAACTTGAAATGAAAATGATTCTGGTACCCAGCATGCACTGCCAGATCACAGGACCCAGAAGTTGTCAATTGATATATCTATGAGTGCATCATTTTTATGGAAACTACTTTCTGATATCATAATAACAAACTTAAGGTTTTAGCCATCAAAGAGCACTGTTGTTAGAAGAATATTCTTGTGACTTTTACTCATAGACTAGAATGAGAGAGAAATTTTCTGACAATTGTGCAACAAGACCAAAGCAACAGCTATGGATGTGGTCCAAACACATTTTTTGTTTCTTTTCTGATGAGGGAAGTTCTCAGGATGCCTTTTGGCAAATATTGTATATTCTTCATCCACAATTTTCCTAGGAGTTTCTACTTTGAAAACATTTGGAAAACACCGACTTCGGGGGGCATACTACAGTGTAACGATGGTTTTTGCTTGGTACTACACAGTCATGTACTAAAAACTCCTGTACAAGCACTGAGCTTTTTAGTGCAGCCATTTTCCATAAGTCCTCCCAGAAATCTTTCCTTTGTGAAAAGGACTTCCACAGCTGTTGTCATGGTAACAAAAGATAAAATAATCTGTGCAAAATCTTATCAAATCATGCAGGAAGCCATGTTGCTGGAAACGTAAACCTTCTATTGAAGGGAACTCACAAATATTGTGCATTTGTCTGTGCCATACAAAACTACAAGTCAATTAGTGCACTCATCTACAGATCACTAACAAGTTGTTGAATACTATAGTCATCTTAGAAATCAAGTCATTGCTGCCCGACTTGTTGAAATTGTAATTGATATAGCTGATAAAGAACACAGACATTGCTTTTAAGAATCTCATGCTCACTTGAGCAATTATGCAATGAGAAAAAAACGTTGCACATGTGCAAGAGTTTACAAATTAGTTACTAGTATCTTGCACAAAATGTGTTCTAGATTGTGATAATTACTGTAAGAAGATTGTGTTGCTGTTTATGTTGTAGGATATATTTGAGCTTTAGAAGCTTGTTCAATGATAGGACTGACTTACTCTGATAGATGTATTTATGCACATTCCTCCCACCTTGTGGACAGGAATCCCTTAAGAAACCCCTCCCAAAACTCTCCCAAACTGTTGACTGTCATCCACTGCAATGTTACTGTGTAATGCTCACATTCTGTTCTTCTGGGATTCCTTTACATGGGGTAGGTTTCTGTTGCAAGGAAATTCAAAATGTCTCAAGTGTCAACGACATATTTTAAACATGTAACCTACAAAGCTGAGATCAGGTATTTTGTACATCTCTCTTTACTACAAAAAATTTCAAAACAAACAGTCACGAAATTGTGATGCTGAACTGTTGAACAAGTACATTAAACAATAATGGGATTTTGTGTCTAAAAGATCTTTAGTACCAGTAGGTGAAATGTGGATAGGGGGCTAGAGGGACAACCTATGGCCCTGTTCCCACTAGGATAAAATTGTCCGGATTGAGCCAGATTGATTCGCTTTGATCCGGATCAAAGCAGATTAATCCGGCTTGGATTCAGATCGTAGCCGGATCAAAGCAAATCAATTTGGCTCAAACCAGACTATCCTATCCTCGTGGGAACAGGGCCTAAGTCTCATCTGTCTCATAGAGCTACAAAGTAACCTGAAAGAAGCCCATTCCAATCTTTCAGTAGTAGAGTATAATGTAGGTTCAAAAAGCAGGTTTTGGAAGTGGTACTATGGGGCTGTATGATATCTAGTCTCTTTGTTGCTGCTATGGCAAGAAAATGGCTAGAAAATAACCCGAGCATAGCCAGTTTGTAGGATACCCAGCTGGATTTAACTCCAGTGGGAAATGTATGATGCCTAAGTTGGCTGGCATCCAGGCTAGGAAGAGAGCCCTGTAGTTACTCACCAATAACCTGCACTTCCTGGGATCAGGTAAAGACCTGAAACTTGTGCAGCCTTACTTTATTGTTCTGTAGTAAACTGGGGGAAAAAAATCCTACAGGCCAGAAGTCTTAAGTCAAAGCAAACATGCCCCTTTCCCAGGAAGTCTATTTTAATGGAGATTGACCTCACTAGCTGACCCAAAATCAGGTGGGAAGCTATCAAATTGTACAATAACGGACTCTATATGTCCATCAGTGGTGCCATAATTGCATCAGACGTAATAGAACTACTCCTTCATGAATGTATGCTTGAATGTAAAGTTGTCCCACACACATCTGTTGTGGCCCATCTGTGCTATAATAACTGGGCAAACTTTGGACTACACCATTGAAGAGTTGTTTGTGAGAGGCTGGAAAATGCAGTGCTGAAATTTTGAAACGATCCCTGCCCTTCTTTCATGTTGATTTTATGTCTTAAATGGCAGACCAGAAAAAAAAATGGAATTACGGAGAGGAGTTTTAAAAACAAACCAAATTTTTTTAGTAACTTCACAAGGAAAGAAAATTCAAGCTTCAAATTCAAATTACTACTGGCCCAAATTCCTGGTCCACTCCTAAACAGTCCGTTTCAACAGAGTACACTCAAAAAGAAGAAAAATCCAGTCTCTACCTGTAAACTTTTTTTATGGAATAGTCCATCGATATCTTGCCTATATCAGACAGCTGTATGTCAATGAAGGGCATGGAAGATTTCAATGCTGCATGTTTGGCAGGTGATGCTACATGTGTATCTTTTTTAACCCTCACAACTTCAAGGTTGATTGAAGCTGGTTGTTGTCATCAGTCAAGTGACAGTTGGAGGGTTATACAAGTCATGTATACCCCACTGGTGTACAGCTGTTGTAGATGTGTCATTGCAAATGTTTGTGCTGTTTTCTATGTAATATAAAATAATGGAATCACTGTTTTCTCACATCTCAAAACATTTGAGAGGGAATTCAGTGAAACAGCCATTCTGAACGAAAAAATCCCCTTTTTACCAAAGTTCACCAATGTTATTTTGTGAGAATTGTGGCAGAATGGTTGTAATGATTGTAATGGGTGACTTTTGTAAGTGTGGTACTAGTAAACATTTCTTGTGATCACCGTTGTGTGTTGGTATATTTTGTAGCAGGTGGTGATATAATATTATTTTGTATGTTGAAAAATGTAGAAAGTACTAGCACCAGGTGTAATAAAATGTGAGAATTTAAAGGACTTGAGATCGTGTTGTGTCATTGTTTTGCTGAAAATCAAAATATTTCATACAACAGATTTAATTCAAAATTAGGCCACACCAATTTAATTTCTTGGTTAATGTATTTTTCTAGAAAGATAATGGAGTGGGAGGGCGAAAAAATAAAAATAAAAACAGGCCTAGGCATCCTATTATGGCCCAAAAAGGTATGATAGGAGCCATGAAGTCAACACACCAGCGGCTGGTTGAAAATTTTAATGAATTATGAACTTTTAATGATACCATTGCATTGAAAATAACTGTAACAGCTAGGATGAAAAGGACTGTTTTCAACTGTTCAGGGCAAAATATCAGCATTTTGCAGTTGATTCTAAATTACTTATTTTTATTTGCAAATCAGAAAAAAATGAAGCAGGCGAATCCGTTAACCAAGAAATTAAATTGGTGTGGCCTTAGAATGTTGTAGGTGTCTGTGTGTTTTAACATTTGAATACTGCAGCATAATGAAAAAATCTTCAAACCTATGAAAATCCTTGTACAATTTTATGTATGATAGAATTCTGCCTCCATTAGACCTGTCTAAATGGCACTCTTCAAAAAAGCAACCAAACATGTTTTGTGCAGGATACTTTTATTCCAAAGAGTTCAAGACTGGAATTTTTCTGTCTAATTTGCCACGGGGAAAACTCAAAGTAAGGCAGCAATTTTAGATGTGATGATGTTGTTGACTAAATTCCTGTTCTTTGAAAATCATCTTTCCTGCAAGCTTGATGTAATATAATACCGTATTTCATTGGTTTGGCTGCTGCAAACGTGCAAAATCTGCCCCTCTAGCTAAAACAAAAACAACCCATAACAATAAGTAGGGTAGGTAACAAGAACAATAAAGTGGGATTACAATGTTCAGATTAGAACTGCCTGAAAAAGTTAAACTTTCCTTTTTTTCTATTTGATTTTTTAAACAAAACAAAACATAACAATTGCTTCTGACTTAGGGTTCTCTACACTTTTTTTCCATCGGAATGCTTTTAAGAAGTTAAGTTTAGGAATGCAACAAATTTGGCTTTTATCTTATAAAGTTTATAAATTTCTAACTCTAAGGGTTAGAACTCATATGTTCACACTTTTAATCAAATTAACAAAGTTTTCATAATGTTCAATATAGGAAAAACTAGAATTTGGTAGTTATATAATTAATGACAACTGAAATACAAGTTGATTGCCTTCATCAGATCCATGCCTGCTGATTTTAAGAAGTCCTTTGCTGTCTCCATGTCATTTGTACCTGTGACCTCCAGGAATTCTGGGATCAGGTAGGCCATTACGATGGTCACTGGATCATCAGAGTCATCTGCAGTGAAAACAAGAACAAAGTCATCAATTACTGTACTTCACTTCATGTTCACGGTTGTAGCAAAAGTTAACGGTCTGAGAAAAATGGAGGTGTTCACAGAACGATATATTCCCTGTTGTGACAGGTGCAAGAAAGAGAAAGTCCAGGAATTTTTTGTCACTGTAAGTTCATGGTACAGATTTTAAGTGACAGTGAAAACAGTGAACATATCAGTACAGTGGAATTACAGTAATCCTGACCTGAAACATTCTACAGAATTTATGAACTATTGTTGACAGTTGGTTGACCTCTAAATTTATATTTTCCACATATGCTTCCCTTTTGACTTCCAGTAACTGTTCCAGCTTTAGATGATGTTCAATTTCATCCTATGGTGCTTTGGGGTGGCGTAAATGGTAGCGGGTTTGGCTCATGACCAAGAGGTCCTGAGTTCGAATCCTACCCATGTCACTGATCTTGTACCTGCCCTTGGGAAAGCACTTAACACAATTTTCCTCACTTCACTCGGGTGGAAATGAGTACATGTACCTAGCTTCAGTTAGGGAGGTCCCGTGTTTGGGGAGGGCCACACCCCACTTAAAGAACCCACCGCAAATGTTGAAAAGAGTAGTTGTCCTTCCCAGTGTGAGTGGTTCAAACCTTACAGTCCAGTCTTATGCAGCTTGTACTTTCATGTACAAAACTGGTGCGTTATGCTAAAAAGGTGACTTACTGGTTATATGAAACAAACAAAAAAATATCTTACCCTGTGGTCCTTGGCCGTATGTTTCATCATACACTTTCATCAAGGCCGCGATATCACTCTCCTTCCCTGCCTTCTTCATCAGTTTCTCCAGCTTCCTTCTGTCCTGGACAATCTTGCGCACCCTACGCAGCTTGGCTTCGTGCTCGTCTAGTTCTTCAGTAGGCGGCTTGGTAGACGCGGCGGGGTCACTCCCTTCAGCACCCTGCCCCTGCGCTTTAGCTTGGGCAGCCCCATCTCCCATGTTTTGCGCTGAGGCTTCAAGTTTCCTTTGCCGTGCTTCTGCCTCCGCCCTCCTCTCCGCTTGCACGATGGCCCTCACCCTCCTGATTCGTTCTTCGTGGGCATCTAACTCTTCTCCTGTACCAACGGACGCTGCCGGCGGCATGTCAGATCCTGTTGCCATGGCAACTGCAGCGTCGTTGCCGTCATGACCCGGCTTTACCTCCGGATGCTCATCTCCCATGCTTGTGGGGGATGCATCCATTTCTTCACTTTCATCTTCTATCTCTGCATGAGTGTCCGTACTCGGAGATGGAGATTTTGGTACAGTACTACTGACAGTAGGTACACCATTTGGGACTTGAGTTGTCCTGCCTGCTGTTCCTGGGACTCTGTAGTAGATGATGTACTCAGGGAGTGTTCTATAGCTGCTGTAGATCACAAACTCTCTGTATTCCCTCACACAACCCTGCACAGAATCATACGATTTTGGCATCCCTTCCTCTCTGTTCTCTCTTAGTGGCTCTCTCCTTAAATCTTTATCAGTTTGTCCGTGTGGATACACTTTCACATCTCCTAGAAGAACACGACACTTGAGGATACAAGGGTTGGAATCCTGGTCACTATTTGAAGCAGAATAGTCCACACACTTGCGGGGGTCATCACTGAAATAGATGCCCCTCCCAAAGTTTCCAATTCTTGACAGTCTTTGGTCCAACCCTTCCTCACAGATTTGGTTGACAGCCTGAGACTGAGTTCCGTGGAAGAGGTACTGTTCATTCAGGTCGAAACTGTCCGACCTACAACGACAAAAAAATAATCTAGACATATGCAAAAGTCAGGTCACACATTCAAAATATAAATAGATCATATATATATATATATAGTTGCTACTACAACAGAACATGAACTCCTATCCACTTCGAATATGTCCATCTATAGTAGAGCATTGTATCTAATGCTAAACATTGAAAATTCAACAAAGAAATAATGGTTACATTAGAACCATCTACCTGTACTAGAACACAACTGCATTGTACTGCTACATACATTTTGGAACACAAAAACATTTAGGGCAATTACCTTTTGCTTAATTACAGTATGCCAATCTTAAACAGTAAGTGCCAAACCTGCATATCTCCTTCATGTTATGTTTCTCATACTGGAGTCTACCCCAGAGATGTGGATTCTGCACTCGCTCGATGGCATCAACTGTGATGTTGACTCTGCTGAATTCCTCTGCAATCAGTCGATACTCCTCTGAGGTGGTCAGTAGTCTGGAGAAAGGACAACAGCTATAGAATCAGCAATTCATTACATACAAGTATGAAAACTTCACTTACATAACTTTTTTTTTCCACTGAATGGCACGTACTTGCAATGAACTGGGGTTGATTCAACTAACTCTGTAAAGAAATGACCAGAAAATTTACTTTTTGTATCGTCCTCATGTTACATAATGCAGCTTTAAGATACCACCTCATGCCTGTAGCCACTTTTTATCTATAGGTCCAAGATTTTCCTTAAAAGATGGACCTATTCCTGTCAACAGCGAGGCTGGAATTGTAGGAAAACGGCTCACTTTGTCATTGAAAAAGTTATTTCTGATTTTTTCTTTAAAATCCTCTAAAAAACGCAGGAAATGCCATTTCAGAAGGTTCATTTTTCAAAATTTCCCAGGGGAGCATGCCCCTGAACCCCCCCTACCATAGGAACCTTGTGCCTACGGCGCTCACTGATCCCTCAAGCAGTGTGAAGAACCCCCCCATTCAAAATCCTGGCTACGGGCATGCCACCTGGTATTCTAAACAATGACACATCAGTTACTATGCACCTGATACGGTGATAAACTTGTTCCCTGTCCAGTCCCAAGGTCCAGTTGCAGGGAAGTTCTTCATCATAGTCAGGATCTACAGGGTACGGCTTCATGGCTCCTGCCGGGGGGAAGCTTGCTGCCCCTCCTGTGTTAGAACTTGCTGCTGCTCCAGACTGTGGTTTGAATACAAGTGTGTTTGTACTGTGATTAGCAGCTGCCCCCATGGCAATCCTGATTTCTTCTGCTACATCCTCTTCCATGTCTACTGACCTCCTCCGTTGGGTCCCACTAGTTGAGGCAGCCATGTTTTCGTCGCTGGTGTTCCCCTGTGCTCCATTCATTCTCAACTCATCGGCTACGTCGTCCTCTATTTCAACAGACCGCCGTCTGCTTGGAACAGACTGATCCATACCGCTTGATGTTGTGGCTTCTTGAAAGTCTTCTTCTAGTCGACCATTTGTATGAATTGGCCTTTGACGTCTTCTAGCTGCAGGGCCAGTGTTGGCCACTTGGGGGCACTGTTGAGACAGGACTTGTTCCAGCACCATGTCTTCTTCTGCTTCCTCCCTTTCCCACTCAGCCTGCATTCTTCTCTCCCTGTCTGCATCACCTTCTTCATCTGACCTTGAACCCTGACCCCACGGTGACCCTTGACTTCTCAACCTGACCTCCTCCTGCAGCCTGAGCTCCCTCCTGACACTACCCAGCATGGGCGAGTCTTCATTGTTGTTGACACCATCAGCTGTGTCCATACCTACTGACTGGTTACTAGTGTTGGCTCCTAATGCAGTCAGGATGGCTTGTGCCGTGTTGATGTCAACACCATCAGGCAAGGTTGGCATGTCAGGACCTCGAAAATTGCTAAGCGGACTATCTGGGTCTGCCATGCTCCTCTGTATGACAGGAAGAAACAAAAGTTAGTGTTTATCTGCCACAAGAGCTTCATGAATAGGTAGAAGAAGATAGTTCAACACTAATCAACAGTAATGTCATTATTTAGACTGAGAGAATGAGTAGGGAACTGTATGGCTTAGGTATACAAATGTCACATCTCGCATCTCATGAAAACAAACTTCACATGTCATAGAGTTATAATACTAGTACCTGAAGGACTTCTGCCAACTGTAGCTGCTCCCGTAGTTCCTGTTGATAGTCAATCCCTACTGCTTCTGTCTGCAACATGTCTTCATCTACATTTGTAGGTGCATAAAAGGGTTACAAACAGGACATTGTACCAATGCAACATGTGCTCATTTCAAAAGAAACAAGATATCACAAACCTACTTTGCAAGGCCTTTGTTATTCATTGATGCCGTTGGATCACTTTCTTTGTTGCCTCCGGGGGAGGAGACATCCTTCCGCGGAAGGGCTTTGTGAGAGTTTTAGAATTTCACGTTCGCAGCAATTCCTCGCGTTTGAGTGGACGGATTCTTTTGAGACTCGGTATACGTTTTGCTATCGGGCTGCAGATGATGCACGTTCTTTTGTTTTTATTGTATATGTGTTTTCGGGCGTGAAAATGGAGCCTTTTGATGGCCCAAGAACACCCCTTGAGTGAGAAAGTGGGTCGCGACCGTCGATCTTTTGCGTGTGTCAGATATAGTCGGTCTCGTCCACAGTCGCACAGAGGGGTGACGGGTCTCAATAAATTCTTAGTCTTGCGGCGCGCAACAATTGTTGTTGTGCACATACATCTTCTGTATGCGAGGCGCAACAAATGTTGTTTGGAGGGTATTTTTAGTACGCGTTCACAGGACGCGTGATCGGCAGCAACTTCCGGGTTGGTCAATGGGTCAGGGGTCAACGTACTCTTGCGCAATCTTTGTTTTGGATGTTTTCGGCGTATATTACGACTACTAACTTACAAATACCGCGGTATTTGCTCAATGCTCAATGCTCAATGACCTGCAATGGCCTCTTCTCTCCGAAAGGAGGAGGAGCGCCCGCCTCACAACATTTTTTAAGATAGTTCACAACACCGTGGCAGTTAGAACCCAAATTGGCAGTTTTTTGCAGCCCACACAGGGGCGTACCCGGGGGAGCCATTCTCTTAAATATCGGCCCATTAACGCACGCACTGACACATACAGATTTTCTTTTTTCCCCGTACCATTCCACAGTGGAACTCCTTGCCCGGCCCGGTAGTTATGGCTCCCAATGTTGAGTCGTTCCGGGCCGGGCTGGCGGCCTGCCCGCCTTAGCCTTGACCTCCTCCCCCCCCTAACGACACCCCTCACGGGGTTATCTGGGGGTAACCAAGACGAAGACGAAGTATACGGTCTCAGACGTTCTCGGCGTGCATTTTTACCGAGGATTCAGATCTTTACTTCCCCGATTTATACGAAGAATTGGCGGAAAATGGAGGAAGTGACAATAAGGATGGCTTGCTACTTCAGCCGTTATTTTTAACGTCTGATTTAACGGTTCCGGTTGTCATTCTGAGTTTCATTACGAGTTCATTGCGGCAGATTAAATAGAATTTCATAAGTTCATGGGTACATGTTATGGGCTGCAGATGAAAATGTTGACCTGTGTTAACACAACCAGGAACGCTAAACACATAAAATTCAACACCATCAACAGTACTATACATAACAAACAACATATAGAAATATACAATAAAAAGCCCGGAGGTATAAAATCTCAGATTTTACTTGTTTAAACTGTGTGGGGTTGTGTGGCGTAAACGGTAGTGTGTACCAAGAGTTCCCGGGTTCAAATCCTACAATGTCACCGATCTTGTACCCTTAGGAAAGGCACTTTACACAGCTTTAATCACTTAAGTCAAGTACATAGTAGTACCTAGCTTTGTTTACGGACGTCCCTCGGATAGGACGTTAAATGGAGAACCACACCCCACTCACATTAAAGATCCCAACACACTTATCGAAAAGGGGTCCTTCTCAGTTTGAGTGGTTCAAACCTTACAGCCTGGTCTTATACGCAGCTTGCTCTTACCCATACAAAACTGGTGTGTTGTGCCGAGGACCAGTTATTCCGGCGATACAGATACTGATATGAAACAAACAAACAAAACTGACCGCCTGTCCTGAGGCTCTCTGCGATGGCACGGTCCATCTGTGCCTGCTCCTCCCTCTCCCTGTCCAGCTGTCTCTCCTCCTCCTCCAGCTGTTTCGCCAACTCATAGTCACGACGTTCCTCCTCTAGAGATGGACAGACACAAGGCAGCATTTTTTATAATAAGGCCACAGCAAGTAAATCTTATGGATGACATCCTCCGCAGACTCCAAATCTAATGCGAGTGGGCGAAAGAAAACCAAGGCGGGTCCAAAAAAACAAGGGTCCTACATTTTCAAATTTTGACTTAATCATTGTACACATGATTTTGATTCAGTGGGAACATCACATATACACAGCCAGCATCACATATCACTGCATCAAAGTAAAAAACAAACATAAAATCAGAGCCTTTTCTTTTCTCCTCTCTTCATAGTTTTCTGCCTGCCACGTTTCAGCATGGCAACAGACATCTTTGCGCATTTTCGGCATGTTGACCACTGTCAGAGGCAACAAAATTTCTTGTTTTTTTTCCCAAAATCAGGCAAAAATTTATGCGCGCGCTGATGTCATCCATAAAAATTACTTGCTGTGGCCTAAATGGTTTATTGGTCAAACATTACCCGTGCAATCGCATCTTTTTATAGAGCTGAATTGATGCAGGGTTTACAATCACATAATACACATGATACATATTTGCTCCACACACATTTTTGTGGAACTGTCGCAAGGGTCTGTGCGGCTGCCATTCGGCGCCACAAACTGACCTCAATATGACTTTCCCCAACCGAAGTTAGGGACCCATTCACACCTGAGTTAAGTGAGGAAACTTGTTTAAAGTGCCTTTCCCAAGGGCACAATGTCGGGGGCATGTCCAGACATGTCAGGGGTACAAATTTGATGTAAATATTTTGACAGAAATGAAAAGAGCAACAACAGAGGTAGAAAATTGTCGCACTGTGGCCTAGTGAGGGCTGCCATGCTAGGATAGGACTAGTCACACAAAACACATGCCTTACTGCTGAGAGAGGCCATCGCGAGCAGAAACAACTTCTACAGCAGTACAGGCTCTCGTTTTCCCCCCGCACCATCAGGGAATGGAACGAACTTGAGCCTGGTGCGGCGGAGGCGGGGTCTCTCGCCCAGTTCAAATCTGAACTGGTGAGGACCCTGCTGCATTGAGCCACCCCATCATGTCTTGTATATATGTAAATATTACTAACGCACTAATGCACTTCGTTGTCCCATCTTTAGCACACACAAAATCAGTTGTTTTTATGTTCCTTCTCAGTTACCCTTGTTTTCCCTTTGTTCTTTATGTACCAGGTCACAATTGTTATTAACAATGCGTAATGGCTGACAATAATCCTACACTGTAGGGCTGTAGGGCGGTAACGAAGAAGAAGAAGAGATGATATAACGTTAGATCATAGCAAGGTGTTCTTTGGTGCAGAGTTACCTGTTAAAAAGCCGACACCGTCATCATCTGTGTAGAAGAACCCAGCTCTCTCTGCAGAAAGGTCAAGGTCAGGGTCCATTCCCTCTGCCATGTCAGTGTCTCAGTTGATGATTTAACCCAAGGAAGCTAAAATTCAAAATATTCACAAAACCTCCTTGTTTATCCTGAAAATGAAACACAGCTCTGTATAACAACAACTTACAGAGACTTACAAACAGCATTGTTTTGTCGTTTAGAGAATTATTACACGTCATTTGATGATTAATCTGAAAATATGTGAGTCATTAATCAAGAGTAGAGCATGATGATGACGTCATTGCCATATGCCACGTTTTGTTGTCAACATATCATTTGCCCCTAACGACTGCACTACGCCCGTGTACATTTGTACTGTATATCTGTTCTCCTGCTATTAATAACATAACAAATATATTGCCGACATTATCATATTACATGAATTTTTATGTATTTTGCTACTTCCGGGTTTGCCAGAGTAAGAGAGCAGAGTCTACGGTCATAACTGTTAGTTACAAAAGCGATAATACGAACTGTTCAAAGTTCACACCAAAATTCACGGGCTAACACTTTACAAAGATCCTCTAGAACAGAACTGTTCGCCACTTTACCCTCTAAGAGTCGATAATATAACCCTTTCTCCCGCATTGGTGTCGTAAGTTCTTCACCATCTTACTTTCAGTTCCAGATCGTCATTAGGGTCAAAGGTCGGAACTTCCCCGCGTAAAGATAAGTGACGTCACTGATTTGGCCAGTGGAATAAAAAGTTGCAAAAATTATCAAAATACCGGCTAATGTGGTTCATAAACAGCTAATTAAGTAATGTAATAAAATAGTGGTAAAATCCTCGCAGAAATGTGAGCATGGGTCCACAAAAGGTGGGAATTGTTTGCCACCTGGCAGCCGAAGGCTTCCGACAAGTCCCGAAGACAGCCGAAGGCGTTGACGTCACTTTGAAAGTGAGTTTGAGGGTGATGGAGTCATCCCCTCCCATATTTTGGTGCACCTGACCAACGTTCTCTCGGAACCTGACAGAAATCGGTCTTAACTTTCATCTTAAGACGAGTACCTGAGGACGTTTGTGGGACATTTGTGGTTGTCGGGTCACGGCCGGGTCAAAAGTGGGTGTTTACAGCTGGGTCGTGCGGGCAGCAGTTTTCGCGCGCCATCTTGGCCCAAACTCGCGGGGGGAAAACTCGTCAGAAAAGGGCCGGACAGCGAGGTAAGTAAAGCAACCCGCCTGGAATTTTCAATATAAATACTTAACTTTATATATTTTTCATGTCATACGTAAGTCTTGTTACTTTTAGCGTCCTATATATGTCACAAAACTGCTGCAAAGTAGGGCAGTATACGGTCCCCTGTTCCAGCCTTGTCGATCCAAGGTCCCTTTGTATTCCATTTTATATCCGTTTGGCTTTGATCACATTCATTACAAATCGTGGCCAATTTCCATTCCAATCGTCTGTCAGATTCATCAGCACAGTGTTGATGTTGTTTGCTTATAGTAGGTGAAAACTGCTAGTCTTGCAGATAGGCCATTTTTGTGAACCCAGGTAGAGGATATAACGTTATCTCAATTATTTTCATCCTTAATCTAAGGTGTAACCGAGCTCGAAGGTTGGGCAGAAAATACTTTCCTCCATTTTGAATTGTGGTAGAATAAGGATTGAATGATTGTTTGGTTTATAAAAACATGGACTTAGGCTAATTTTTTTTTTTAAATTATCATAAAAGCTTGGCTGGCATAAGTGACGACTTGAGAGATGAAAATATTTGTAGCAAGTTTTAGGGAAACGTTCATGTTAAGTTGTGGTTAACTTCCAATTTGAACATTCTTATCATCATTTATCACACTGTTGCTGTAGTCAGTTTATAAATAGTTTAAGGTTTTACACTGTGATTGGACAGATGGGGAGATGATTTGAATGGTGAGAGGATGTATGCAAATTAGTGTATGTACAATTGTTATGTTGTGTCAGGGAGGGATTTTTTAGATGCCACCATATTTTTCTGCTCACTGTTGCTATGGGCATTGGACATAGCTACTTTAGCCTAGGTGTACAATAAACTAATAATAAATAATGTCCTATAAACAATGTATTGTAAACAAGTGTCAACCTTCACTTGTTTTATTTGATGTAAATATTGTAAGACCTTGGGAAAAGTTTGGGTAACAGAACATTCTAAAAAAAGTCACCATCTAGGATCTAAACAACTGCATTAGATACATACATGAACACACAAATTTTATAGTGTTGATTTTGCTGACTGCCATGCCAACTGACTGTTGTGGTTTACTCTGTTGACTCAATGTTATTAGTTATTTACATATGAGAGGTAAAAGAAAAACAGCCCTGTTGTCCGTGTGACGTGCCAGACATGCATTGTTTGCCTAATCATCATGTGTGACTAATTTGCATGCTGAACAATACCTTCATGCTAATTTACCCCATGCTTCTAATCATTCTGTAAGTTTTAAACTCAAATGATATGATATGCAAACAATCAAAACAATATAATGTATTACTATAGTATTAAATCCACTATATAAGCCAGATGACATGATTTTCGGCTTCAAATAGCAGAAGGTCAAGGTTTTGTTGGGAGCGTGGACGGGTCATTTTCATGCCTGGTGTCACCCCAAATTGAAAATCCATCCGACTGCAGCTTTACAATTGATCCAGTCGAATGGTCTGTATTCTGCCTATTGTTTCGCACAATTTTTTTTTCTACCAAATTCAGAACTTTCTCTTCTGCTCCAGTAGATAATTTGTCGTTTTCAGCTTATCTTGATATTATCTGACAGTTTTGTTAATGTGAGATGCATGAATACTGTATGTGTGTTGATGGGCTCTTCGCCTTTGAAGAAGAACATAGATCAACATAAATGACTGTCCATTATCGACTCTCGGCACCACTGCGGCAAAGTGCTGCATTCACCCTTCGCTAGCGAGAAATTCACTGCTACTTCTGAAGGAATGGTAGCATATTTTGGGCCATAAAGGGTTAAAATATATAGTATATAATAGTACTGCTTTCTAATATTCAAATTTCACTGCAGAGTGACAGTTTTTTCAATCTGCCATAGTTTTTTGCGCTACTAGTATGTCCATTAATAGGAAGGGTCTTTACATGTCACTTACAGGTCATTGTACATCATTAGCATTCCAGGCATGCAGGGAAGCCAAATGTTTAATCTGAGGTGACCGTGACCTAACCTGGTGCATTCCCATCTTAGAATATTATTATTATATATATTATATTATTATATATATATTATAGAGACTTATAAGAACTTGTTTCCTGCATTTTTTTTTTACTTCATACTATTCAATGGGTGAAAGTATGAAATTAACATGTTAAACAGATTCTTCTGCCACAGACACCTACCCTGTGACGTAAGAATGTACTGTAACATGCACTTATCAAGCCATTACATTTGGATTGTTCAAATGATGTGTCTGAAAGAACATGACCGCACAATTAAATGGGTGTGGCAGGAAAAATTCAGCATGATAAACTTCTATGTACTAACTAAAACCGTAACTTGTATTTGCATTTTTTTTGTGCTGACAAAAAATACATGAGAATAACATGGTAAAAATAGTTGTAATTTTTTCTTCAATATTCAATAAACATTCCTGTGTATAAATGATATAAATATGTTATCACTGTGTGGAAAGTAGTAGGAAGTGCCATAACATAATTCTACTTTTCTAGTCCTTGGTTGAAGCAAAACTTTCTAGGTCAAAGATAAATTGCATATTATTATTTTTCCTTTCACTAGTTTTAGTAATTGTTTATAGGCATAGATAATATTTTGGTTTAGAAAACTACAATTATGATTCATACCCTATCAACTATATCCAGCATTAATGTCACTTGTCTACCTAATAACTATTATGACAGATGGTACGTATGTCAGCTTTTGTAATATTTACCCTTTTATATATGCAGGTACAGTGATATTAATTTCTTTGCCTCTAATCACATTTTGATGACTTCAGTATCATTTTGTATAGGTATCGTGTTTGTATCATCATGTTGTCCAAGCACATGAAATGTTTGTGTTGCTAGGTGTTTGTTTGTCAATTTATGTATGCTGCATTCTAAAAATTAACAATGATCATTGACAAGAAATCAGTTCTGTAAATTTGGCTTGACAGAGGCAGACATTTGGTGTTCCATTTCTCATTTTGTGTGATTGTTGGCTCATAGTATGAGTTGTAGGTTCAAAATAATCAAGTAACTATAATATGATAGACATTGATAGTATAGCATTACAACCTAGTTAGTCTGATGTCATCAAGAAAAATCCGGCTTTGGAAAATAATCAAAAGCTTCAGGAGACTAGTTCTTCAGGAGACTAGTTCTGAGAAGAATTTGCATAATTATGCCTGCCATGATGGCTCACTTTTATTTACGGTACATGTTAAAAGTAAAATGCAGACAGTCTTGAAATCCTTGGTTAGTAATAGATGGTAGTCTGACCTATCCTGTCCCCTCAGGCCCAATAACCTATTACGAATCATTGTTGTTGTCAAACAGATTATGTTGTGGATGCCCTAGTGCTGGATACTATATGTAGTACTAGTAGTCTAGAAGAATGGAAATTTCCATGGTGGACTGGGAATTTTCCGCTTTCTACAAAAGAGGGTGTGGATGGTTTTGTGTGTCAGGGGTACGTTTGGTCAGTGTGAACAGCTGACCAGCCAGCATGGAGCTGGTCTTCCCTGGCTTGGACGGTGGGTCAAAATAGAGTGGTCAAAAATGTGTGGTCTAACTATGATCATGTGTTATTATGTAAGAGTGTTGTTGACTTTTTGTTCTTTCTTCCATGTCCATTTTACAATACATTTTTTGATTATAATTTCATTATTATTATTTTGTATATGGATATCACTATCAATGGAATGTCCTCTTATGACCTAGATGAAACTACAAAATGTAGTACAAATTGAACAAATGTTAACTAATCTATTTAGTTGAAGACAAAAGATGTTTGCATATCTTGTGTTCATTGAGATGAGTAATACTTTCCAATGTTGTATTGTCTAGAAATGACCTTTGACACAACGTGACCTTTCACCCCTGCAGGCAAGATGGAGGAACACATAAGCCTGGACCCTCGGAAACAGGAGCTGTTCGAGGCTCGTTTTCTCGGAGTCATGAACAGAGTAAGTCACTCACGTCAACGTCAATTTTATACTGATCCTCTGCTCTTCATTTCTACTCCTAGAACAGTCAGGATACAACCAACACCCTCTGTGTTTTCATTGTAAGTTATCTCTGCCGAAAGGTATGTGTGGTCAGCTGTCAGCCATTTTGAATTTTAAAAGCTCAGCGTCGGTAAAGGACTGATGTGCGGAAACTTGTCTCCAAAACGTTAAGTAGCTTCTAACATTAAGAAAGATGAGATTCAAAAACATTAAGAAAGCCGATGATACATTTTATTGCCTTCAGTTTTCAAACACAGCCAAATGGAATAGACAAAAATATAATCTGTAGACATGTATATTTAACAGAGATATGGGTATCTATCAAAATCATTTGATCCGTAACTTGGCATAAAAATCAGCTGGAACATAAGTAACAATGTACATTGTAGGTATGTTTGGGATAAACAAAACAATCAAGGAAAGGGGTACTTAAGACTTGGCATCTAGCCAAGTCAGTTTAAAGTTGAAGTGTTGGCTTGTCCCATTGTTTGTGTAGAAGTTCAGTTTTTCAACAAAATAGGAATGGTAACACTTTCATTACAACAAGGCTGTCAATAATGTTTTTTTTGCAGGTATTCTACTGCCTTAGGCCACACCAATTTAATTTCTTGGTTAACGGATTTTTCTAGAAAAATAATGGAGCGGGCAGGCGAAAAAATTAAAAAAAATAAAAACAGGCCTAGGCATCCTGTTATGGCCCAAAATGGTACGATAGGAGCCATGAAGTCAACACACCAGGCTGGTTCAAAATTTAAACAATGCATTTTGAACTTTTAATGATACCATTGCATTGAAAGATAGAATAACTGTAACAACTAGGATGAAAAGGACTGTTTTCAACTGTTCAGGGCAAAATATGAACATTTTGCAGTTGATTCTGAATTTTTATTTTTATTAGCAAATCAGAAAAAAATGAAGCGGGCGAATCCGTTAACCAAGAAATTAAATTGGTGTGGCCTTAGTTAAAACATGTACAAGAACAGCCAACTTATGATTGAGATTTGCAATGAACCAATGCAGTAAAATCCTTATCTTGTTTATATGTTACGTTTTTGCGGTAACCTTTTATAAACCAGTAGGAGAAAAGCGTTTATTTAGCAAGAAGGACCAAACCCTGGCTACCACAGTCAGACGACAAACACTTAACACATGGAATCTCCTGGAAAGACGCCATATTTGTCTGCTGACCTTCCTCAGTCAAGGTCGTTTGTCACATGTTGCTTGAGCAGGAGGGAGGGAATATTTGTCCAGTAAACCTGGTGATGTCACTCCTGATCAGGCCTCGAAATTAACTTTTTTTGGCGACGCCTCAGGGGCGGAGCCGTTAGTATAGTACTGCGATCGAGTTGAAAATATTCTAAAAATTCCGTCAATGCATTCCCTAGGGAATTACTTGTTTGAATGACTCTGTGTTTGTACACAGCAAGTAGGGATATCTAAAGTGATGGTTGATCTTTTGCAGAAGTCTTTTGTGTAAAGTTTAATGGCTTAGTTGTCAGTCGATAACTGGATACTTTATAAGTAGGAAAGGCCTATGTTACCATGCATGCATAAGGCACCTTTTCCGGCCAACTGTGGCTTTTTGCACACAGAATATTAATGATTGTCTTTATTGATATTTCAAATATATTCTCTTCTATCAAGA